CTGTTTTCTGCGCTTCGATGCCATCGGCGAGGACGACGAAGGCGGAGTGGGGGCCATCGCAGGCAAGCGAAATCCTCACGATGTGAACAAAGGAGTTTGCTGATGTGTGTCGAAGCACCTAGGCTTAGCGTTGCAGAGCACACTTCACACAATCGCACAACCACGCACTAGGCTAGCCAAACACCATGTGGGCTACGTAAACAAAACGGCACGACGGTAGGCAACGGTGCCTCGGATACTCCAGAGGTGGCGCTGGTAAACATTCAAGATAGCCAGGGTGGCCAGACCAAATAGGTGTGTGACGGTTAGTTCTAGTTCGAAGTGGTGAAACGGGAACCCAGAGTGGCACGCACAAGCACAAGCGCTAAAGCGAAAAGAACTTTATTGGCGCCAACAAAATTTCCGGGTGGATATTTCGATTGTCAGCGAAGCACCCTTGCACAATAAACATGGCCAGTGTTAGGAATCTCTGTGGCTGTGTGTGTTTCTCCACTAACGATCAAGGAGTTCAAGCAACAGATGCCGCCACAGTAGACTGGTGCGCTCATTTATGCGATCGTAATCGCGTGTGACGCAGTTGTGGTGGTTTCCACTGGAGGTCAGTGGTGGTTTTCGACCTTCCGTCGCGTCAAAAAGTCCGGAAAATTGGACTCCTGGGGTTTGGAGCATCCGAAATTTCAGATTTCCTTATACATTGATTCTATGGGGCTCCTGGCAGTGCCGCTAAGATGTCCGAATTATCGGGCATGTCCGAAAAATCGGCAGTTGACTGTATTCACTTGAGCCCATTCTGTGTTTTGAAGCTATCGCTTTATTTTTGTAATATTCAAATAAGCACACAATTTTTTTTTTATATCTTGTACATATTGTCTCACAACTTTTACAAAAAGCCAGTTATTAACTCCTCTTTTCAGCATGTAGATGAATATACAGATTTACGGCACTCACCAATGTCTCAGGATCTAAGGGCAGTAAATGGAATGGCTATATATTTCTATTTGTTATAAAATGGCATAGGGATAAAGACAGCAACTTATAAAAAAAAAAAAGCTGAGGAAATGAACTTTATAGAAAATGCAGCTCAAAGCTAAGAAAACCGAACTCTGATGAAAGCTGGCTTTATTTCTCATTAGAGAAATAAACCTTTGTGGCCATCTTGAGTGCCGATTTGTTCTCTTTAAAATGATGCCAATATGATGGCGATGTGCCTAAGGAAAGCTGCAAATTTGCATTTTCTAGAGCCTAATTTTCGCATAGTTTTTGATGACAGCACACTAGTAATACAGTACACTCCCGTTTTAAGTTGAACTCTGTTAAAACGAACAACACTGGTGTGTATGTTTGGTTTTTCGTAGACTCAATTTAGTGAAAATCTCTAAGACGAACCGTGTAGCAGGCCTCTTTTGTTAAGACGAACTCTTGCACTGACCAGGAATTACGGGAATTCTGTGCAAAGATTATAGTCTTGATGAGGGCATTCAGGCAGAAAAGAGAAAGCAAAATAAAAAATTACGGCATATTCACGGGGTGAATGATGATGAATGGGCGAAGCTCCGGAGGGATTCATCGGTAAACTGTGAATCTTCCGTGTGATTCGCCCAGTTGATCATCATGTAAAGACGTGAGAAACGCTGTGTGTGTATATATACACAAATCAACTTTTATTTGTTCTTAGACGATGGATGGCTTGCGATGTCCCTTCATTATGACGGCTTTATGGTCTGTGAAATGAAGGGAGAGCGGTTCCTGTATAAGATCTCGCGTCTTTCATCAACTACAAGTACCGCTTTCTAGTTTATAACATCTTGCATCTTTTCATCATCAGATACAAGTACCACCATCTAGTAAACACTACAAGAACTAAACGAGAGGTGGCTACATACAGGAGACGGTACCGCCATCTAGTGAACACTGCAAGAACTAAACTAGAGGTGGCGACATACAGGGGACGGTACCGCCATCTAGTGAACACTGCAAGAACTAAACTAGAGGTGGCTACATACAGGCTACAGGGGACGCACAGCCCACGCCCTAAGGAGCTTCGCCCCTAAAAAAAAACTTCGAGGTGTAAAGAGTCGAAGCTAAATAAAAGCAAAGTGCGATGTGGAGGGAGAAAACGAGATAAGTGGAAGCCCATAAAGCTGGTATCTCCCTCACCCCTAGCTTGTTGGTGGAGAAAGAGCCGGCTTTATGAGAAAAGAAAGCAACTAAAAGCATTCGTCCTTTTGTATTCTTCTCGCGTTCATTTCCCCAAGTGGAGTACAGTGGAGAACAGAACAACACAAGAGCTTGGCTAGAAGGGAAAAATTCAAGGGAAGGGGAGGGGGGGCAAAAAACAGCCAAATGAAAGTGAAAACGGGAATAAAGATTGTCTGCGCATTATAATAATGTACAACCGAAGCTAGATAAGCGGCACTGTGCATTATAACCACGTGCAACCGAAACTAGATATGTGGCACTACTACTCCCATTAGAAGAGTCAGATGCATTCTCATCGCCATCACACAACAGCGCTTGAGCACGTTTTGGCTAGTTTGCATTGTTTTGGCTAGTTTGCATGGGGCCTGTGCGCGCCGTATTCAATCATTCCAGCGACTATAGGTGGCGCAGTGGAAGGTCGAAATGGCAGACGAGACGGTGATGTCATGAGCATTTATGTTAGCGTCGCAGAACGTGAGGACGTGTTCATTGGTTTATGACTACTGTGAGACCTAACTGCGTCCCAGTTTTATAACAGTGTGACAGCTTCGGAGCACGGCTACATGGCGCCGGCTGTGTCGCTGGAATGGCCAAATCAGTTCCCAGTGAAATGCAGCAAATTGTGATGCGCTATTTTCATTGCGAAAGTGCACGTCAAAGGAAGGTAATTTTGCACACTAAATATAGCTCCATCGTGCCTTTTTTAGTGTGCCCAAGGCTTCTGATAGTGAGTAGTATAAATGAAGATCTTCAGCTGCATGTCGTTCTGGAGAAGTTACTACGGGCTGAAAATAAGAAAATATTCTAGCCTCAAAGAGAAGCTTGCAGACTCATGAGCAACTTGGCGTATATTTTCTTTGTCAAGGTAGCAGTATGCAATGGAGGCGTACTTAAATGTGATAGCAAAGCCAGTAAAACAACCTCTCGGAAGAATAATAGCTTTTTCATTCTTTGAAGGAAAATGCTGCTTGTCTCTCCCTCCTTAACCTTTTCTAGTCGTGAAAATAGGGTTGTGCTGTAGTTTTATTTTTAAAATTTGGTAATTTAATTATGAACGTATTATGAACTCAGGAAATCGAGCACTCGTTCGGTGGTCTAGTGACTAAGGTACTCGGCTGCTGACCCACAGGTCGCGGGATCAAATCCTGGCTGTGGCGGCTGCATTTTCGATGCAGGCGGAAATGTTGTAGGCCCATGTACTCAGATTTGGGTGCACGTTAAAGAACCCCAGGTGGTCGAAATTTCTGGAACCCTCCACTACGGCGTCTCTCATAATCATATAGTGGTTTTGGGACGTTAAACCCCACAAATCAATCAATCGAGTACTCGACTCGTTAGATTAGTGTAAATACTCTACTCGAAAGCATAGTTTTTATCAAGTTGAGCCAAATAAGTGCTTTTTCCTACTCCTTTCCTCCCCATAATAACCATACTTCATTTAGTGTTTTCAAGCAGCATATTTTGGCATACTTGGCATGTTAGCATTTCTGATAAGACGAACGAATGATTGCGGTCTCAAGTTCGTCTTAAAGGGAGTCAACTGTATGCCTTTATTTCAACTTATACTTCTCATTTTGGTCTAATATGTTACCATGATGTGAAAGAGGGTCTCGGGACTGTAGAGAAAAAATAATTGAACGAGTACAAATTCACCATTCCCATTGTCACATCTCCCTTTAATTTAGTTGTTGAGTTTGTGTTTACTACAAGTTCATATTGCTCTTAAAGCCGCTATTGTTACTTTATACAGAATTTCAATCTCTTGATTGATTTGTGGGGTTTAACGTCCCAAAACCACCATATGATTATGAGAGACGCCGTAGTGGAGGGCTCCGGAAATTTCGACCACCTGGGGTTCTTTAACGTGCACCCAAATCTGAGTACATGGGCCTACAACATTTCCGCCTCCATCGGAAATGCAGCCGCCGCAGCCGGGATTCGAACCCGTGACCTGCGGGTCAGCAGCCGAGTACCTTAGCCACTAGACCACCACGGCGGGGCAATTTCAATCTCTTGCTATGCATTCATTCCTTCACTCTTGCACCAAACTTCCATAACTAAAAATGTTTCACTGAATTTGCAGTGAGTTCTCTCAAGTGGTTATAAAATATTTTATTCGGTGTGCTTATCATGTGGTGAGACACTCACATTAGAGCGTATACTCCGCACGTGCGAAGACATGGGCAGAAGCTTCACACTGGAGGAGTGGGAGATGCTTCTAGGCAGTCCCGCTCTCACTAATCAGCTCACGGCTATCCAGCGGGCCCGCGAGGTGGCCTGCAGGCTTGGCTTGCCGGTCGCTACGTGGGACTGAGCTGGGTGCGTGACTCAGTTGGGTGCCGCAGGACCAAAATAAAGTTATTTTCCTTCCTTCCATTGGTGTGCATTTGACCACCTCTTCCTTCTTCTTTTCTTTTAATGAAATAAACACTACTGTGTACTGCTCGAGCTTGATTAAAATGTTTTTCTTAACATGCTTTCCTAAAAGTGACTGCATCGGGTGACATGCCCCGGTGACGGCCTTTCTTTAGGCCAAAGGTATGTGACACTCGATCTCTGCAGAGGCACTTTAGGAAAATGGGAGAAACTTTGGGAATTAGAAATGTCAATTTGATTGCCACACTGGGAATTCAATGGGAATTTATTTGATTTAATTATATCCTGTTTTATGTTATTGAGGTTAGTTTTTTTTCATTTTTTTTTTGTTTTCAGCATGTCATGACTGCACTGCTAAGCATTTTATATTCTATTTGGGTGGCACAATGACCCAATCAACGTCCAATCCTGTTGTTTTTGTGCAGGATGTGCAGCTTATCACCAAGTTTCTGCCTGCCTTGATGTCTCTGATGGTTGATGATCAGGTAAAAGTATTCTTTGAACTTTGGCTTTTTGACCAAGTCTGATATCTACTGTGCAGTGCACCTAGCTGGAGGAGATATTGCGAGCGATACTATAGTACTTCAGAGTACGACTGATCGTGATACAAAATGAAGCTTGACAACTAGCTGTCTTACAAAAAACAATACTTCCCTTGCAGTAAACAGTAAGTGATGCCCAAATGTGGGAGATAAAACTTTTTTTACCTCTAAAACATGGCCAAATCTTGAGATAAGCACAAGGCAGCAGCAGCACAGTCAGAATAGGAAAAAGACTTTCTGTAAAGCGCCTGTTTACGTTCCAGGTTAGTTTGACACAGTTTCATTATCTATGCTACTAAAATTTGATTAACCCAAGTGCTTTGAGGGCTACTAATGCTGCCAATATTGAAAATTTTCTGGAGATGCATTATACTATGTAGGGGCTGCCCCTACATAGTACATTATACTATGTAGGGGCAGGCAATCTACAGTGTGCATAAACACCTTGTTGGAAACTACATCGGCTGGCCTCGGTGGCACTGTGCTCAGCCACCCTGTGCAAAAACGAAACAAACAAACAGAACAGCAAGAGTAGGCTTTTCTTTCCTTTCACTGGGTGATGCAAGTTGTTTCGGTCTGCTTCAGACCCGGGAAACTCTAGTTGAATTAAATCAATAGCATTCTGTTAATAGAAACAAACACAGACTGGCAGGTGTTAAACTATTAGTTTATTTGTCCTGTCGTTACACATTACTAAACAATTTGAGCTGATTGAAAACCTCAACTTTTTTAAAGTTTTAGGTTTACGCTGCATGGCAACTTACCATATACATTCGACTATGGGCGGCTCCCCCCAACTTGGCAGTCCAAATTTCAAAAAAAAAAAAAAAAAAAAGCTATCCAGTAAACGGCAGCATCGTTGTGTATCGCGAATGGCACATTTCACAAGAGCCATAAGATGGCATTAGCTGTCCTGCGGCTTCGTTACATACCGTATATACTCGTGTAAGGGCCGCCCTCGTGTAAGGGCCGCACCCCAACTTTGAAAGCGGATATTTCGAAAAAAAAAAAAAACAAAAGTTCAAAATGTCCCGCCAGAAAAGTGTAGTTAGTTCATTTACAGCCAGATGGCGCTGCACGCTTTTCCGCTTTTATTCTACTTCCGCCGACGCGCCGACCACGCTGTTGACAGCGCGCCGCCATATTTGCCTTGTGCGGCCTCTTTGTTGGCATCGTTCCTAGCATCGTGTCGATACGTTGGCAGCGCGACTTCAGATCGGTGTCGTCGGTGTCACTTTGTTGGTTGTAGTGAACCCTGCAGAAGCCAGCGCACGTGACGGACGATGGGCCGGCATCTGAGATCATTCACTGCAGCATTTAAGCTGCAAGTGATTGACTATGCCGAGGAGCACGGGAAGCGGGAAGCTGGACGAAAGTACGACGTCGATGAGAAGCGCGTGCGTTACTGGATGAATCAGAAAGATGCCCTCGCCGCTACTAACAGGAGCCGAAAGGCGTTTCGCGGGAAAAAGTGCAAGTACCCGCAACTCGAAAGCGAGCTCGTCAACTACGTCGTCGACACACGAAGGGACGGCTACGCCGTATCGACTGACATGATACGCGTCAAAGCCCTCAGCATCGCTCGCCACATGGAAATACCCCCGGCACAATTCAAGGCAAGTCGGGGCTGGGCTACGCGGTTTATGAACCGTAACCAGCTTTCTATTCGGCGCCGAACGACGATTTGCCAAAAACTGCCGCGCGAGTACGAAGACCACGTCATTAAGTTTCATCGCTTCGTGAATGCTCTCAGGAGGGAGCATGAATACGACCTGTCCCAAATTGGGAATGCGGACCAGACACCTGTGTGGTTCGATGCACCGGAAAGCACCACAGTGGATTTAAAAGGTGCGAAAAGTGTGTCTGTGCGCACGACTGGTGCAGAACGCCAAAGGTGCACTGTGATGTTGTGCATCACGGCAGACGGCAGGAGGCTTCCGCCGTACGTCGTATTTAAAAGGAAGACTCTCCCAAAAGAGAAGTTCCCTCAGGGAATCGTCGTACGTGCGCAAGAGAAGGGCTGGATGTCCGAGGAACTGGTCGTTGACTGGATTAAGACCGTCTGGGCAAACAGACCTGGAGGGCTGTTACAACGGAAAGCCCTCCTTGTTTTGGACAGCTTTAGGGGCCACTTGACCGACCGCGTCAAGAACCGAGTTGCCGCAACTCGTACGGACTTGGCCGTCATTCCCGGTGGCCTGACGAGTGTGCTGCAGCCGCTCGACGTATGCGTCAACAGACCATTCAAAGTGGAATTTCGCCGATGTTACTCTGAATGGATGGCTGGAGGCGTCCACGAGAAGACCCCTACAGGACGGCTGAAGCGGGCGTCGCTCCAACAGGTGTGTGAATGGATTTTGAATGCGTGGCGTGCCATGTCAGTAGAAGTAGTTGCTAAAAGCTTCAAGGTAACGGGAATTTCGAACTCCATGAACGGCACCGAAGATGACCGTCTCTGGGAAGACGCGGACGCCGAGGCGAGCTCCTCCGAGAACGAGGACAGCGAAATGGAATCCGAATAAAAACATTTCTGGCATGTCATTTGTGACTCTTGCACTCTGCTACTGTTGCATAAACAGTACAGACCTTTGGCCTGTACTGCCTGTACTAAATCGGCCTGATTCGTGTAAGGGCCGCACCTAGCAAAATTTTCGAAAAAAAAGTGCGGCCCTTACACGAGTATATACGGTAGTGCTATCTGTGAGCTTCTGGTGTCTATTAATAGACTATTTAAGGCAGAATTTAGATGCCACCACTCTGTATCCATGGCAGCGGACCACCATTGGAAAACACCGACTGGACGATTAGGGATGGTGTCACTTCAGCTGGTCTGCTCTTAGATTTTAAACACGTGGCGTGCAGTGTCCACGAACATTATTATAAAGAGTTCTAAAAAGCTCAGCAAGATTATCAGTGCCATGGATGGCACTGAGGGCAATTGTATACATGAACGTGTGGATGACCTAAGTAGCAGCGAGCTAAGCCCAAACTGCAACACCGATGAAGTCATCTAGCCAAGATGTCTAGAGCTAGACTATATATAGCCAGATACCCCGTTATTAGGTATACGGTATATGGCACGACTAAATAAGTTTTTTCATATGTGGATCGACAAGCGAACAGAAAATTTACACTTCTGTGGAAGGGCTGCCCCCCATATAAATCTCAAAAAAAAAAAGTATGGCCCTTACAAGAGTGTACTAATGCCTATTGTGTTATACTGTTGTGTTGGCTAGTGGTTTGATACTGGCTTAGATGGTAAATTAAATAGTTCCTGCAACACTTAACTGAACAATCATCAAATGACTTTGCTGTCAGTTTTTTAGCTCACAAATCACTGCCGCAAAAATTAGAATCCACCAAGTACGAGAAGAGTGAAAGGTTGTACACTTCAAAGTGCTTTTTCTTTCCTTTCTTTCTGACAAGGGTGCTGGAAGCTATGAAAGAAGAAGGGGGTGGCAGAGGGGGCAAGAAGCTATATTGAACATTTTTTGGCGGTATGAATAATTGTGTGCTATTTTTGCTGCTAATTCTAGCAGACTATGTAGGGAAGTGCCGGCATGTGGTGCCACCCCATGGCGACGGCAGGAACTACACAGCATGAGAATGCTCATATCGTCAGATAGCTATGTCCTTCCCTCCAATAATGTAGGCCTGTCAGTGATGTAGTTTGCAGAGAGATAGCGAGTGATTTATATCTGTCTTTGAATTGTACTTATAAATTCTCTGTTCCATGCAGTGCTAAATATCATACCTGCCAAGTCTTCTTGATCATCCGGGATACTCTCCAATTTGGATCATTTCTTACGTCTGTATGGTTGTCATAAAAATCTCCCGGAAATCAAAATTTCTGTGCATGTCATGTCTAGATTAACAAAAATGCAGGTCAATCTATCCACACTTTTTGCAAACGTATCGCATTTTGTGAACCCATCGCAGTGATGCGAAACCAGCAGATACGAATTCGCAAAATTCCCCAGCCACACTTCATTGTGTCCACTGGGCCGAAATTCGTATGCTCTGAACACTTTATCGGGGGGGGGGGGGGGGGGTGATACTAACTTTGGTATTGAAACCATCGAACGAAGCACAAAAACAGCGTCGGAAGTACGATGCGCGTGGCCAGCGCACGCACTGTCTTCTATGCGTGTGGTTGTTTGCCACAACCGCTGTGGATGAAACCATGGTCACTCTTGACACGATCATGTATGGTGATGATGTAAATGGCAGAACTCCGAAAGTGTGCTCGTGTCTAATGCTCGGCCAGTCCAGCGCCTCCTCTCTTTTGTCAATGCCAGCCAGATGTGCCCGATCGAGCCGTTCACCACCCTCTCCTCTTGCCCTTTCCTGCTCTCACCCAACCCCAGCCTTCGTGAGTGCTTCGCTGTCATGGGGGAGAGAGCCTCACTACAGTAATCGTATGAAATAATCTTTTGTTCACTTGCATACAGATCCGTGGGGCGGCGTCTTGTATTCCTCGTGTTCATAATATTCGCCGTCATGCTGGCTCTGTAAAAGATACGTTGTTTTGAAATAACGGGTCGCCGTTCGTGGCGCTATGGGGGCAACCGATGGGGAAGCGTTACTGCAGCGCACCTGCATGCACCAACTTTTGAGAGCGGTGTGCTGCACCGTGGTGGCTTTGCTTTGAGCCACGTAGAAGGAGCCTGAAGGTATAAATCTGACAGACGTATGATATTGATGTGAAAAACACGCCTGTCGCATCTCTCGGGGAAAGCGCTCGGAAGCACGTATAACGCGAGCAGCACAACCCCTCATTTAGCGCCTCATGACGACCATTCCCTGAATTAAGGCGTTCCGACGGCTCATGTTGAGAAGCACGCGTTTGCACTGGCACTGAAAAAAAAATAGAGGAGGTGTTGTCTGGTCAATGTGACGCCGCTTTCCACAAATGTTGCAGACAAAACTGTGGCAAGTTCAAT